TTTTATCTCTGAAGCAGACGACTTCTCAAAAATTGTAGACCAGTGATAAGTTAAGTGTAGCATACCAGTCTCCTGGACCTAGAGAAAAGATAATTGTGGCCAGGGAAACCAGCCAGAACGTCTTCTTGACATACCTGTTCAGGTTCCAAAGATTTAGGATTGATATGAGACCTCCTCTGGCTTTGAGAATGAGAAAGTGTTGGGAATAAAAAACCCTGACCACTGAGGAGGGGGCACTTCTTCTATCGCTCCCAAAGAATGTAGAATCTGCACTTCTTGCCTTAGCACAGACTCGTGACAGGGATCCCTAAAGAGGGACTGGGAAAAGGGGTGGGAATAGCAAGGAAATGCAAGGTATATCCTGATTCCACTGTGCTTATCGCCCATTTGTCCAAGGTGATGGACTGCACTAGGCATGTAGGAAATGCGATAACCTGACCTGGAAATGCAGGGAAGGGCCAGAGAGATCTAGGCTGGGGGACATGCTGTCCTCTACATAAAAGAGTCAAATCTACTGCTTCAAGCCCATGGGATGCCTCGAACCTGAAGGAAGTGGAAGGCATCTATCTATGTCCTCTGCAATCTTCGCTTTTTCTTAGGTTGGTCAGCCTGACAGAAGAGGTAGCATTGCTGTCTAGACTGGTATGGAGAACGATATTTTGTCCTCGTCGTTGCCAGTAGAGGCCCAAGGATTTCAGAACTATTCTCGAGTCCTTCAGGGTATGCAAAGCCTGATCTATTTTGGATGATAACAAGGAATACCCTTTGAAGGGGAAGTCCTCAGTTGTCTATTGCAATTCTTCAGAGGTGCAGTCAGGAGGACTGGTGCATTCTTACAGTTGTCAACATGATCCTGGCTGCAGTCTACCACATTCAGGAAAGCCTGCAGAGCTGAATGAGTGATGAAGCGATCCTCAGCCATGACGAATTCAAACTGCTCCCTTGAATCTTCAGGCAGCTTGGTGACAAAGTGGGATATGGCTTCCCAGTTGGACAAGTCATAGCACAACCAAAAGGTATGATAGTTGGCAATCCAGAGTTGTAGACTTGGCATACAATAATTTTTTCTGCCAAAGAGATAAAGCTTTTTTAGTCTTTTTTGTCCTGGAAGTAGTCTTAGCCTGGCCCTGACAACTTCTCTCATTCACTGTGGCCACAGCTAGGATGTAGATAGAACTACTCAAACTCCAGGGATGGAGCCTGGTATTTCTGATCCATTCATTTGGCCACCAGAGGAATGGAGGAAGAGGTCTGCCATATTGTTTCAGCTGGCTGCATGATGGCATTGTTCATAGGCAGGGCTACCTTCCCTGCCGCAGAAAGATGGAGAATGTCAATGAGCTTGTGTGTATTCTCCTCTACAAGTTCCAGAGAGGCTGCCATTCTCCTGAGTAACTCCTGGCATACTTTAGTCATCCAGTACTGGGGATGATGCCTCCCATACCAGGACCTCGTCAGGTGATGAGGAAGAGGCGTGAGATGTTTTCCCCCAAGGCAACTATTAAGGCCACTCCCCCGGTACGATACCAGGCCCCAGGCTTGTCTGGCCCAAGCGTCCCAATTCTTGGACAATCTCTTCTCAAAGCCACAATAATGATAGCAATTACTAGAGTAAGCTTTAGACTTTGGGTACCAGGACACCTGAGAGTTGACTTCAGAGTTTGATGATGACTTGGAGAAAAGGGTGGAGTGGTGCCTGGAGGGGTCTTTGGCAATCTTAATCAGGACCTATGTCAGGAGCATGGTACCAGTGGCAGCATGGATGGCTTCCTGGCTGCTGTTAATATATGGTGTAAGGAATCCAGAGCCAGTCCCACACTAGGGGGCAGTATCGAGCCCAAGGCAGACAGTGCTATGGATGAATGACATGGTGCCGATGATCTATTCTAGAAGGCTGCATTGGTACTGCACAAGGTCTTCGCTCTGAAGCAAAGACAATGGCAGCACCAACAGGCATAGTAAGTCTCTAGCCGTGATGTAAGCCTCCATCATAGTTGATACCAACATGAGCTGCTGATCTGTAGTGATCAGGGAAGACTGATCTGTCACCAAAGTAGCCTGTCTTGATGGTGCCTGAGAGGGCACCGGAGCTGATGACCTAGGTCTCTGAGTGACCCGGTACCGGGGAGTAGAAAGGCACAGGGCACCCTCTACCTTTGGTACCTGACTGACCCTCTGTGGGAAGAGTCCTGCACCCTAGACGCTGAGAAGCTGGATGCAGACTTTTGCTTGGACTTTTGAGGCTACAACTCTGATTCTCTAGGCCTTGAAAAGGACGGTCCCAGAGATGGGGATCTTCCGAGACCTCTTTCAACTGATATGACCGGAGGAGCACTTCAAAGAGCTTCCTTTAGATGAACAAGGTGGCTTTAGTGTCTTAGTTCTAGTCTTTAAGCCATGAAAGATAAAGCACCCATCTCTGATGTGGCCATCACCCAAATACTTGAGGCAGTAGGAGTGAGGGTCATTAACAGGTGTAAACTTCTTGAATTCTAGGCAAGGTTTGAATCCCAGGGACCCGCCAGCTGGAAAAATCCCCAAAGTAGCGCTAAATCAAATGAAATAAACTTAAAATTATAAAGGAAAAAAGAAAAGAAAAAAGTCCAAAGACTTTTTAGAAACACTAGTTAGATTGAGTAGTAGTTCACAAAGAACACCAATGATCTGACCACCAACAGTAAGAAGGAGTGTGGCCAGGGATGGGGCCTTCGCTATGGTTACTGCTCTTAGGACGGAAGAATCCCATGCACTGCTACAGACTAGGGACCGAATGGCTGGGTAGCAGTTCTGCAGAAAAGGACCTAGGGGTCACAGTGGACGAGAAGCTGGATACAAGTCAACAGTGTGCTCTTGTTGCCAAAAAAGCTAACGGCATTTTGGGCTGTATAAGTAGGGGCATTGCCAGCAGATCGAGGAACGTGATCATTCCCCTTTATTCAACATTGGTGAGGCCTCATCTGGAATACTGTGTCCAGTTTTGGGCCCCACACTACAAGAAGGATGTGGAAAAATTGGAAAGAGTCCAGCGGAGGGCAACAAAAATGATTAGGGGTCTGGAGCACATGACTTATGAGGAGAGGCTGAGGGAATTGGGATTGTTTAGTCTCCAGAAGAGAAGAATGAGGGGGGATTTGATAGCTGCTTTCAACTACCTGAGGGGGGGTTCCAAAGAGGATGGAGCTCGGCTGTTCTCAGTGGTGGCAGATGACAGAACAAGGAGCAATGGTCTCAAGTTGCAGTGGGGGAGGTCTAGGTTGGATATTAGGAAAAACTTTTTCACTAGGAGGGTGGTGAAGCACTGGAATGCGTTACCTAGGGAGGTGGTGCAGTCTCCTTCTTTGGAGGTTTTTAAGGCCCGGCTTGACAAAGCCCTGGCTGGGATGATTTAGTTGGGAATTAGTCCTGCTTTGAGCAGGGGGTTGGACTAGATGACCTCCTGAGGTCCCTTCCAACCCTGATATTCTATGATTCTATGCTAGGGAAAACTCTCTGGCACTGGTGCACAAGGCATGCCCATACTTACTGTGAATGCACATACGCAAGCACTTGAAGAAGAACTTAAAACTGTACAGATTTGTAAACAAGGCAAAATATAGACAGACAAAAAGTAGTTTTCACATTTGCTTTACCTATATTGTCTCTCTGTCAATTCAGGAAAGAATGTAGTTGGGACCCATACTACTCTCTACCTAAGAAGAGTAATTCGGCAAATACCATTTTTTCCCCTTAGGTTTTATACCTAGAAATGCTAACCAAAGGTCTAGATCGTTAAGTACTATAAATTGTCGTAGCTCCGCCAAACACGTTTACCACAACTTAGACTTCCTATAGAAAATAGGGATCTGGCTTAGAAACTAAACAATGAAACAAGTAAACCATTTCCCACTGACCAGCTCTTACCTTACATGCATCATAATCTTTGCGGATATAGTGCAGGTGTATCAGCCAGTTCCTTCTCTCCAAGATTGGCAGCTCTGGCACTGTGTGGAAAACATTAGCAGAACACACACAACATTGAGAAATGATCCAGCAGAGAACACTCACGCATGTAGGGTAACCAGATGCCCCAATATTATCGGGACCATCCTGATTTTAGAGGCTGTGTCTTAGAGTACGTCTACACTACTCGCCGGAAGCAAAGTCGACGGGGGAGCCGCGGCAATCGACCCCATGCCGTGAGGACGCGAGATAAGTCGAACTAAGATACATCGACTTCAGCTATGCTATTCTCATAGCTGAAGTTGCGTATCTTAGGTTGATCCCTCCCCCCCAGTGTAGACAAGGCCTTATACACGCAACTATGCTTCCCGCACACCCCACACCCCCCAAAAAGCGTCCCAATTTTTCACACTTAGCTGGTCACCCTACACACATCGGGCCAGAAAAATTTCTCTTTGGTAAGGAAAATCTCCACATGCAGGACAACCTAAACTAGATCTGCACCAGGGAGCACTATTAGTCTCTTGACTCAAAGCCGGGAGTCTGCCTTTCAGTGTTAGAAAGCAAAAGGAGTTCCAAACGGATAGATAGAACATACTGTTCAATGAATAGCCTAAATAAGCCTCTTTCACTGAAAATCCGAACAATAGCACTTCATAAGATGTGAGACATCTGCTCCTTCCAGTGCAGCTTGCTGGAGCAAGCAATGCCAACACCTTGCCTTTGCATACACTGTAGTCTAATACAGAGGTTCTCAAACTTTAGCAATCTGAGGACCCCGAAATTTTGATTCAAAATTTTTTCACTGACCCCCAAACCCCCGCACAGCTCCAGGCCCTGCCCCCACTGCACCACTTCCCCCAGCTGTTCCCCGGCGTGCAGGAGGTGATGGGAGGGAGGGGGAGAAGATGAGGGAGGGAAGGGGGGGGGTAGTTGATCAGCGGGGCCCGCGGACCCTTGGAATACCCTCGTGGACCCTAGTTTGAGAAACGCTGGTCTAATGCCAACAATGGTTTGTTCGGTTTTGGGCTTCTGCAGACACAGAAAGAGCTTGGGGAATGGACATACTAAGGAAGCTGTTAATAATTTAAAGAAGTCAAATTTAGTTCTTTGAAACAGTGCAAGATTACAAAATGTCACACCTTTGTGGGATATGGTGAAGCCACTGATGAAAAATCTCTTTGATGTAGTGAAGAAGAAAGAGAAATATGCTCCAGTAAATCAATTGTTAGGAGCCTGCAGCAGTCATGGCAAGTCACAAATGGGTATTGCTTGGCTGGTAATGCTCATGTTGGGTTTAAAAGTTTAACCCATTCCTGTGCATTTCTTTAAGACTTGAAATATATTATTTGTTTCTCATTTCTGCAGTGCAGATGCTGGCAGCCCAGAAGTAACCATAGCAACTGGCAAAAAAGCTAAATGTTTGCAAGTCAATATAATGACAGACGAGTAGAAGCAAAGCAAGGCAAAGATTGTTGCAGCAGCAGAAAGGATGATAGAGCACTAGGACACATTCCTCCCTGTCCCCACCCCGTGGAATGCAGACCCATCTATACAACTGTCAAATAGAGGTGTGCACTTGGCTTTCATAATGACAGCACAGACAGATAGGAATACCACTTTAAATTTTCCATAGCAACTGCCACCAGCTTTCAGCACAGGTCAAGATCAGATAGGAGAAAGAGGAAATCCAGCAGATTTCAGAAATCCAGAGTGGGTCATGGCAGGAGATCCAAGTATTATCATCTTTTAGAAACTTTTAACTTTACTAATGTAATTTACTAATTTACTTTTAACTTTATGATTTGCAGTGAATAGGAAACATGCATTCTATACTACCACTGTGGCAGTCTCTCACAGCTCACAGTTACAACATGTGAGAAGCAGAGAGTACTTAAAGAATGCAGGTTAAAAACAAGTGAAAAACACCACAATTCCCACCCCCCCATTTTAGCTGACAAGTTTCTCCAGCTGTGTTACAAACACCACTTCGAATAATTGAAATGGAAAAAAATTTTAAAAGCCAATTTGCTTTTCACACTACATTTCCAGACAAATCTATGTTAAAATGGCAGTACAATTAAGAACAGCACACATCAGTAACTTGGGTAAAAATCTGTCTGAGCAGGGGGCTGGACTAGATGACCTCCTGAGGTCCCTTCCAACCCTGATATTCTATGATAACACACACTACAGGGACGATTTAATTACTGCAGAAAACTAGAATTTTAAGCCCAGGAAATTCAGAGTTAGACTTAAAAGAAGTAAAAATATGTTACAACCTTAACTCTGCCCTGTTGTGGCAATATGCAATGACCATATAATTATGTTTAAGATTAAGATTTTGTCACTGTTATTTTTAGTAAAATTCACAAACAAGTTGTGGGGAATAAACAAAAATTCATGGGAGCCCATGACCTGTCTGTAACTTTTACTAAAAATGGGGGAGGGCTGGAAGTGGGGGGAGGGGGGGAGAGAGAGAATGACAGCTGGAGCCCCATGGTGGGAGGGGGGGGGACTGACAGCCCAAGTCCTGTCATGGGGCATGGGGGAACTGACAGCCCAAGCCCCAGCTGCAGGGGTGCACAGCCCCAGTTCCAGCTACGGGCACACAGTCCTGGCTCCAGCTGCAGGTGCACAGCTGCAGCTCCAGTGCAGCCGTGCACAGTCCCAGCTCCAGCCCTGGTCGCAGCCATGCAGGCGCACAGCCACTGACAGCTGAAGCCAAAGAAGTCACGGAGATCCGGTAAAGTCATGGAATTTATGATTTCCATGACCTCCATGTTAAATCATATCCTTAATTATGTTTAAGGCATTTTAGCATTTGTGGTCCCAGATTAGATGAGCCTAAGTTTTGAAGTGTTTCCTTTTTTTTTCTCCTTTGGGTCACTACAAGGGCAGAGTTAAGTTGTTGCTTAAATAGTTCTTGATTTGTTCAAAGTTGTTGATTCATCAGGAGGACTGGCAGGGTAGAGCTGTCACTTTGCAATCCTCTTCAGCTATGCAGGATGCCTGCAGTTCTATAATGTCCTTCATGTGCAAGTTACTTACGCTGCAATAGTCCAACAAAACATTCTCCTTATAGGACATTTGTTGGCAAAGTTATAAACTAAGATATTGTAAATCACAAAAGGTGTAGTAAATTGGTCACTACCCAGTTCTAAATCCCAATACATATTAGCCTGATATGGATCATCAATAGTCAAAACTGTAATAGCCATAGTCAAAACTGTAATATACTTTGCCAGTGTTGTACTGCACTGAGCAAGAAAGCCTAGTAATACAGTTTAAAATTAGAGCGTTCTAGTCCTCCCATCTCTCCAAGGATTACACAAAAGACAGACCACTTTAAGTTAGGTTTCCCACCTTTCCAAACAGATAACAGAGCTAATTTTCTCAAAAAAGATATTTTGATAAAGAGTATAGTATTACGATAGATAAAACAAGGAAGAGTAACCATCTTGACTATATTCACTTCCACAGCTAACAGAGATCTTTCCAGTGCCAGGGGTCAGTGTGCATTTTCTGAAGGAAAGGGAGACAATTTACAGATACAAGAGGAAAGGATACGAATCCCTAGCTGTTTCAGTGTCCCTAACTACAAAGAAAAGACATACCGCAATTGTTTTTTTCTCTGTCTCAAGGACTACCGGTTCAATAGCCAGGCATTTTTCTATATTGATGATTACCCACAGAACATCTGAACTAGAGTGAGCTGGGCTGGCAAGCAACAGTAGTGTGTCACCTACACATACAGAGAATTTGTAATAGCCTAAATAGCAGGGTTTGACCAGACCAATCCATGGGAGTTGCAGTGAGAGGTCAAAGAGCATAGATGAATGGGGGCACCATGTCTCAACCCTCTAATGAATTTGAAAAAAGATCAGGAACTATTTATTATAGCAGCACATTGGAGACCTCTACATGGCATACTATGTATTTGGAATCTCATCCTAATTAGAGACCGAAACATATACTCTCACTTGACTTGATCTCATGGTCTTCTCAGCACTGAGAGAGACTATTGAATGTGGCTGGGCCCTTGCCAGGTTCAGTGGAGTACATTTATCAAGCTGCTCACACAGGTTCTACACCATTCCAGCCAGACATAAAACAGACTGTTCTCTGTGAAGCAGTTTGTCCAAGATCCAGGTCAGAGTTGGCCTGAATTTTTACCTCTGTGTTAAGGAGGGAGACTGCTCCGTGACTTTCATCCTAATCTTCTGGGCTTCTCTCTTATGAGATTACAAATGTAAGTCTCATTCAGCGAATCGGCAGCAATTTTGGCCTCAACCTATGCTTAAATACTTCAGTCAACGCAGATGCCAGATTCTCCTATGTGGTTTGATGGAATCCAAAGGGGAATCCGCCCAGACTCACTGTTTTCCCGGTGGCAGTGATTGATTGCACAGCCCACTTCCACCTACGTGATTTTTCTGACAGTGCCCCTTTAAGGAACTAATTGTAGTGGAAGACACGGACAGAACCGTATAAGATGTCCAGGACTGTGTGTCTTCGCAGCACTGTCATCTCTCTTCATTTTGCTTGCCCTATTAGAGATTTTTCTCCAAGGACTGAAACTCAGAATTCATACCTTCTGTGAAAACATCCACATGAAATTAATTTATTTGTGATTCTTCATATTGTGTAATTGCAGCATATTTATATACAAGCCATTAAACAGCACTCTTCAATTTTAATTAAAGGCTTATGAAGCCACTGGAGTGTTAGAAATATCTTGAAAGGCTCCAAATACAGGGAATGAGAAATCAGGAGAAATTATTCCAAGAGCAGCAATCATTCTCTAGAAGAAGAGGATGCCAGGTGCCAAAAAGAACTGCCTTTATACTGTTAACATGGCTAGAGTACACAGGCCTTCAAATTGACTTTTCACTTGCCCCCACATTTTCTCAGTTGTGCCAGCCGAGCGGGGGACCTTAGCATTGTTCCAGCTCAGAGCTTTGATCAATGGATGGCCAGACATTCCTCTTGGGGTGGAGAAGAGATTCACAGATGCTTCCTGCACCCAGGCTCTCAGCTG